TCTTCCCTCTCTCTCTTTCCTCTCTGCTCTCGCCTCTCATACTCTCCCGCCTCCTCTCTCCCCTCTCCATCATTCGCCCGCTCTCTCTCCCCTCTCTCTCTCTCTCTTCTAGACCATCGATCGTCTGCCGGAGCATGTTCTCTCTCTTCCAGTCTTCTTCCTCTGCTTCGTTCTGCTCGTCTCTCGTCTCGCTCTCTCTCTTCATCATATCTCTCTTCTCTCCTCGCTCTTCATCATTCTTTCTGAATATGTATTTCTGACAAAGATATGATATAAACCGGTCAAATATATCTCTTATATTTTGAAGAGATTCATTCTCATTCATAGCTTTTCTACACACATGTGAACGCACATGCACACGCCGCACCCCGCACCCCGCACCCCGCACCCCGCACACGCACACGCACAGTACTATTATGTCAAGAAATATGCCTTTGATATGTGCACAAAAAAAACATACACAGAATGGCTAATGTATGTAAGTTCACTTCAGAAAAAGATCCTAATGCACAGATGGATCATCCTCCAGTGATATGTTTCCTTATTATTAACATGAAGAAATGACTATATAAAGCAGAAGAAATATAGATAGTTCTCACAATATAGGTAATATATATTAATTGTACTTGGGATTCATTAAAAAAAAAAGAAGAAAAAAAAGGTTGATAGTGATTAAATTTTGTTCAATGTGCTTGATTAACCCATTGGATTCAGATGTGGACCAAAATCTGGGCATTAGAGTTCTCTTGGATATGTGTCTCGTATGCCTGGCCCACATGGACACTCATGTACAGTATCAAGACTGCCTTGCCTTCTCTTTTCCATAGTACTAGCTCTTGTACTGCATATACAATTTTTTCCCTTTTCTAAGGTCTATATTTGTCATTTGATATACTGTTTTCATTAAATATACTCCATATTATATCTCCAGGTAGTCTACAACTTTGTGTATCAACAATAACAATAAGGAACAATATGTTACTTGTGTAAATTTTCTGTGACACACCCTGCGATGCCAGTGAGGACATGCAGGAATAGGAAATGGCGTCCTCCTTGGAGTCATTGTCCTTTCAGACATGGCTCACAGATGGTACTTTACACCTTCATTTACAGGTGGAAATATTGCAAGAGCCTTTCCTTAAAGGACCACTGAGTCTAAGTGCACTCCAAGAGCTTTGTTTATTCAGAGAGAGACATGCCTGTCACCTGCCACTTAGCAGTAATATTTGATGATGACCTATTCCTGTCACCTTGTCCCTCAGCAAAATTTTTGAAGAATATAGTCCTTTTTTAAATATAGTACAGAACAGTATAGCCATCTGTGATAGAATTTGTATTTAAACTATAATTAGCTCATATAATGTACTAAATGATGCAACTAAACTCACTCATACATGATTGATTTGCATGGCAGTAGTGGCTCTTGGGTGGTAGGTGGCTGCACCATGAATAATGCATTTGTTGTTGAGTAATTATTAGTACATGTACTGATACCTATGCATATGATACTGCCTCTGATTATCTGTGAACTGGGCCATTTGTAAACTATGTATGTATGTTGTATGTATGTTTTTTTCAGTAATAAGAGCACAAGTATTCAACAAGTGTTTGTAAAGGCAGAAGCTGTTTTGTAATGCATGTGCCTGTATTTTCTTTGTGTACAGTTATAATGAGTCAGTATGCCATGGATTCCACCCACCAGGAAAGCACATGTCTCCTCTCTGAGGTGTCTGGGAGGGAAATGTAAGATGGTGAAGTTATATATTGAGAAGACAGTTTTATAGCCAGTTCCAATTCTTAAAGTTCACATCTATGAAGGTGTACTGGTAAGTATATTAACCCCTTTGATCCAGATGATATGACCATCATGTCATGAAATAATTTGGCTTGAGGGATGAAGGATGTGAACATGCCATCATGGCAAAACCTGGCTGTGGGATGGGGTGACTTGAACTTGCTGTCCTGAGCATATTGACTGAAGGCCAGTGTAATGGGAAAGACTCACCACAAGTACGCAAACTTATTTGGCATTTAGTAATTATTTTCATAAACAAGTGTAATGTAATGTTTGTGAGCCATAACTGGAAGAGTGCTGGCTCCAGACAAGATGCTATTTCTTTAGTCATCATCCTATTCCTGGCTGCCGTGACTGGTGGTGCAGGTTTTATTAGAGGAAATTAATTTTACAAAAAAACAAACAAATACAAATGACAAAATTTTACTTGTTATTATTGTTGCACTGAATTATAGACTACCTAGAAAGATGGTATGGAATCTGCGCAAGTCAAACAGTTCATTACCATCTTGATAAGGCGGATCACATGGACATTGGAAAATGGCAAAAAGACTAAAAATTCTTATGTATTAGAAGAGAAAATAACATTGCATCACACACAAGTGTTTCTGTGCTCCCGGCCTGGAGGCCGCACACCTGTTAAAATGACTGCTCACGTAATGCCCCTATTTTGGGCCGTGTGATTTAATAAAGAAACAGCACACAACCCTTGTACTATCTACCCCACAACAAATTGTCAGTCATGCCTTGTCAACTGTTGTTAGGACTCATGAAAGTGTTAACCCATTCGCGCCGGGTAAAAATGAACAAAAAATGGGGAAAATGTTGTGCTCATTTTGGCGGGAAAGTGTAATTTTACTAGTGCTATGAATATCGATGGTTATTTTTATTATAAACATTATAATTACTATAATGTTATAAACATTAGTAACAGCAAAATAAGATAACGTAAGATATTTTCGTAAATTAAAGAAAAGGGTAAACAGACGACACAGGCAGTACAAGTACAAGTGTAGCCATCTATGTGGGAAAACAATTAAACAAGTAAACTCACAGTGGGCCCGTCACGTATACGTGACACCCGGCGTAAATGGGTTAACAACTACTGCAAATAATTAAAATGTTTAGTCATATGAAACTTGTGTCAAGAAGCCAGTACTGAAAGGGATATAATTATTGGAGGTACTTTTTGACTTATTATGTGCATACAGCATTTCCTCCCCTTTTATTTGTAAATTTTTTTTTATTGTACAGATGAGTTGTGGTGCGTGAACATGACAGCCTTGTATGCATGGGGTGCCAATAGCCACGGGCAGTTAGGCCTGGGCTATGTCAGTGAGCAGGTATGTAAACAAATTGTAGGATTTTATTGTACTATTATTAATGAAGCTGATTCTTTTTAGTTAATTTGATACTTGATTTTATTTATTACTTATCACTGCTTTTGATTTGCTGTTTTTTTTTTTTTCGTGTTAAATAATTTTATGCTTGTATAATGATCACAGAAGAGAATTATATTTGACTGAGCCAAAATCTCATGCATGCATTTTCCATAGGTGACTCAACCTACACGAGTAGATGACCTACCAGACAACATAAGTGAACCTTCAATATGTACAGCAGTTGGTGGGGGAGGTCACACCTTCCTGTTGACAGCTCAGGGACGACTCTTTGGCGCTGGATGGAACACCAGTGGGCAGGTAAATGTATTTTTTGGGTGTGTTTGTGTAACTAGCATAAAGTTGAGCTGGCATGTCTTTTACCTGATATCTGTGATACAATGATTTGGGTTTGTGCCAGTATGGCTGTAACTGTCATAACTTGCTCCTGCATTAGTGTGCTGGAGCTCATGAAGACGAGTTTGCTCACAGCGGACATTGGGTGGACAGCTCATATTGTTCCCTGGTAGAAGTGCTGAACAGTGAATTCTTGTCCAGGCATCATGATGTTAAGGTTCTAACTTGCTGCTTTACCCACTAGAATAAAGTTACTATATAGTCCATAATTTTCAGTTTTTGTTCAAATCCCCCCCCCCCCCCCCCCCTTTTTTTTTCCCCCTGACTTGCAGGTCGGAGATGGGACACAAGTACGTGCAGTTGCAGGATTCCAGCTCATACGAGGCCTGGAGGGTCATCACATGGTTGCTGTGGCTTGCGGCTGGGCCCACTCCATTGCCCTCAGTAGATCTGGCCAAGTGTGGGTGTGGGGCTCAAACAGTCATGGCCAACTTGGGCTACCAAAGGATGAGGTAACACACAGTTTGTATTGTAATAAATGCTTGATAGAGGTTAGTGATAGTAATGTGCGAGAATAAATAGTATTAGAGAATTTGAAAAACTACCTTATGCTTAGCTATGAGAGGATTCTAATGATGTTTACTAACAATTTATTCTGTAAACATATTAGTTTAAAAAAAATTGTTTCTCCAGTTAAAAAGCTTAGCATCTTTCTGTTATAGCATTGTTCATGAGCATAGTGGCAGATCTGTAAATAGGATCTGTAAGACAAATCATTATATATTATATATGGAACTATGAATCTGGAAAATATGTTTTTTAGTACTGAAATTTGTTAATGGAAAGTAATTATATATGGGGTTTATTTAGTAATAACCTAAGAATGTAGTGCTCTGATCCTTTTAAAAATAGAGGATTGTAAATGTCATTCTCGCCAAGTAATTATCATTATTGAACTGTTTACTTATAGATATAAATCTGGCTCCATGCTCCTGATAACCTATCTAACCCCCAAAAGTTATATTTGATAAACTCTTTAGTTTAGAAACATTTCCTCTTCAGGTTATTAAATAGGATATATGTTTTTTTGTATGTAATTTTCATTGCAATCCTTTTTTCAAAAGTAATATTAGATTTTAAATTTATATTTGAATTGAAATAGCATATTAAGTCCAAAAAAACACACATTCAAAATATTAGTTGTCACTTCAGTTATGTATGTACAGTGCTCACAACTGGGCATAGATTTTAAGTAAAAGTTTTCTTGATGAAAAAGAGCTGGTATTGGCAAAAAGAAAACAAGGTGAAAAAAAGGTTACAGAAGAACATGAATGACCATAAGAGGTCAAAGGTTGTGACTTAGTATTTGATTTTCACTCAATGGAGTAAACAAATACACAAGAGCATGGATGGCCTGTCGGAGATAAGGGATACCAATTAGTGATTGAGTAGCCATATATGCCTATAAA